TTTTTTTTTTTTTTTTTTATATCTCCTTTCTTTCGTCTTTTTGTGTTACTGTATGTTTCTCGGTATTTATTTGTATGTGCGCGTGTAAGATTGTGTATATATGTATGTGTGTGTGTGGTTGTGTGTGTGTCTAAGATTTCTCATTCCCATAGATACAGACATTCATAATTCTCACAATACTCCCGAGAAACGTTAAGAACGGGCGGAAAATCTAATAAATGAAAAATATCGCGAACTTACGGTATTTTTGACTAACTGGCAATAAAAAAATAACTGGTTCGTAGTTTTGTCTACTAACCTTCAACCACATGACTAACGTTTTTTTTTTTTTTTTTGACAACGCGTTTAGGTCTGAAACCCTATTTATAACCCCCCCCCCCTAAAGCGAAAGATGAGTTGCGTTTTAGTTAAACTTGTTTTTATATGCTATATCATAACAGGAATTCTGCAAATCAAGTCCAGGTTTATAGTTCTTAGTGCCTATCCCCATGATATAAAATAATATAATAAAGAAAACTGGGTTAAGGATAACCAACCTTTTCTACATTAAGGATTTTATTATTAAAAAAGTGAATTTTCGTATATCCACATATCTAGTCTGTTTTGCATAGCCATACTTTCTCTTCTAAGAATTGGAAAATTAATGTCAGCAGCTTATACTATAAAACGAGTATCAGACAATTCATCTTAGGGATATAGGATCCAAAATAACTTAAAATTCTACCATTTAACAGGTACGGGCGTAAGATGACAGTGGCCGTGGGTTTCGTCGCCTACTCCGCCCTGGCCATCGGCTCCTGCTGGATCCCCAACCTCTCGGCTCTCCTGCTCTCGCGCTTCCTCATGGGCGCCGTCCACCCCACGATACAGAAGACGGGATATATACTAGGTGAGGGGTGGCGGAGGAGGGAGAAGGCAAGGGAAAAATGAACAGGTAGAGAAGGAGGGGAGAAGGTATAGGAAAGGCAGTGGACAGAGATACAGATGGCAATAACGATGAGGATGGAAGGTGGAGAGAGAGAGAGAGAGAGAGAGAGAGAGAGAGAGAGAGAGAGAGAAGAGAGGGGGAGATAGAGAGAGAGAGAGAGTACAAAACCATTTAGAGCGTTATCAATTTTCGCAGGCATGGAGGTCGCGGATCCCAAGTGGCGCACGCATATCGGCATTGTATTGTTTCTGCCATGGGCGCTTGGTCTCATGGCGTGGGGCGGGTTCGCTTACCTCGTCCGGGAATGGCGGATGCTTCAGCTGACCGTGTCTTTGCTGTGTCTGGCCTTCTTGCCTACTCTGTGGTAAGTTTCGATGAGATTTCTGTGATACAACTTTCGATATCTGTGTCTATCTCTCACTATCTATCTCTTTCTCTGTCTGTCTGTCTGTTTCACTCTCTCAGTCCTCCTTCCTTTTAAAGTTGACGGAAAAGTCCTGGTGTGATAGAGCCTGAACTCCTTCCTTCGTCAATGTCTTCTCCTTTTCCTTAATCCTTCTCTTCCCATCCATCCTCCATCATCCAGCCGCTTCTCTTTCTATCATCCATTCTCCCACGCTCTCCTCCTCCTCTTCACCTCCTCCTCTCCCTCCTTCACCTCCACCTCTGGATTATCCTATTAGGTTCATGGACGAGTCGCCTCGGTGGCTGGCCGTGAGGGGGCAGCACCGGCGCGCCCTCCGAGTGCTGCAGAGGGCCGCCAGGTGGAACGGGTCGCCCTCCCCCCGAGGACGAGCTTCTGCTCTGCTCAAGGACGGAGTCAAGGACGAGGTGCGAGCGCGTGCTTGTGCGCATGTGTAAAAGGAACACACTTTATTATATATATATATATATATATATATATATATATATATATATATATATATGTGTGTGTGTGTGTGTGTGTGTGTGTGTGTGTGTGTGTGTGTGTGTGTGTGTGTGTGTGTGTGTGTGTGTGTGTGTGTGTTTATATATTTTTTTTATATTTTTCTCGAAATATAAATCCTGTCACTCATCATGCTTCTGAATACACAATACAAGACAGAAGAATAATCCTGGTTCATAATCCTTTTATTTATTGTATTTCTTTTATCACTTGATCCCGTGACGTAGGCAATGGTACGCCCGCACCAAGACGCCCGCGCCCACACCGCGAGAGGCTGGTTCAGAAGGCGTTTGGATGAAGCATTTATTCTTTTCAGGCAGGTCCACTTTTCCCTCTTCCTCCCTCCCCTTCCTCTCCTCCTATTCTCTTTTCTATTCCTCCTCCTCCTCCTTATCCTTCTTCATTCCTTCCTCATCGTCCTCCTCCTCCTCCTCCTCTTCCTTCTGCCAAACTTTCCTTATACATTGCTGAAATATATCATACGATTCTTTATATGAATGAAAAATCTTGTATATCTTGTCTGTATATTTTTGATTTCGTGGAATATTGCAATTTCTCTGACATATTTCGCTATGTCGGTTACTGAAAGCGTGCAGAGGATGTAGTCTCAAACCCACAGAATTATCTTGATTATAAGAGCAATATGAATGGTATTAGTAATAGTGATAAAATTAACGAAGATGACAATGATAGTAAAGACAATATATCCTCCTACAAAGACGATACTCATTTTGCTTCTCCACCACTCCCCCACACCCCCTCACACCCTCGCCCCCTCACCCAACAGAACCCCCCGCCTTCGCACCATCACCCTCAGCCTGTACACCAACTACCTACTGGTGGGTGCTGTGTACTTCGGCTCTCGCTCAGCGGCGGCGACCTGAGCTCCGACCCGTTCCTGTACATGGTGCTGACGGGGGTCGTGGAGCTGCCGGCCTACACGCTGGTCATCCCCCTGGTGGCTCGCTACGGCAGGAGGGCTCCCGTTGTCGCCTTCTTCTTCATGGGCGCCGTGGCTCTTCTCGCACTGCCCTTCGTGCCCACGGGTGAGTGAGGTTGTCTGGGGTGGAGGTTTTGTTTCATGAAATATGTATAAGGTTTCATAATGGAAAAATCTGAGAAAAAATTATTTTCCTTCTTTCTCATCTTGTTCTTTTTTGTTCGTGTTGTTTCTTATGCCAAAAAAATTAGGAATTTACTGTCTACAAACATGTCTTCAGTCAATACCAAGAAGTTTCCCTGACAATCAAAACAGGAAAGTAAAACATTTAGCATAATTACCCTTCAAAAATAATATAATAGAAAACGTTATTTTTAAAATTATAAGGGGAACTAAAATAATATTTAATTTTCCTCTCAGGTAGTGGGGAATCGATGACCTTAGCGCTTATGGGGAAGATGAGTATCGCTTCGGCCTTCCAGATCCTCGACTTTTACTCCTCAGAGCTCTTTTCCCACCGAGGTTAGGACGAGGGGCATGAGCACAGCCCTTGTCATGTCAAGGGTGGGGTCTACTTGTTCGCCTTTCATCACGGACTACTTGGTAAGTTTTTCTTCTTCTTTTCTTTTCTTTTTTTCTTTTCTTATTTTCTTTATTTTTAACAGGAATAAATCATGGTGAATGTTATTATTATTTTTTTTATGGGAAGGGAATATTATGTAAGTAGTTTGAATGAGCTTGGATGTGTTTTAGATTTTTACCAATCACTCTGCATGACAGCAAGATATGACAGTCTTCTTGCTTTTTGTTAAATCTCTATGATTTTTATAAATCCTTCCTCTCCCTCCCTCCCTCTTTTCCTCCCTTCCTCTTCCTTCCCTGTTCCTTCCTCTCCCTCTCTTTTCTTCCTTCCTTCCCTCCCCGTTCCTCCCTCCTCTCTTTTCTTCCTTCCTCCCTCCTCTCTTTTCCTCCTCCCTCCCTCTCTTTTCTTCCTTCCTCCCTCTCTTTTCTTCCTCCCTCCCTCCTCCCCCTCCCTCTTCCTCCTCCCAGGGCCCCTTGTACCCGTGGGCGCCGTCAGCAGTGTTCGGGGCGGCGTCGGTGCTCGCGGGACTGGCCACCCTCGCCTGCCGGAGACGCTGCACGTGCCTCCCGGACACCATCGCACACCTGGAGGAGCGGGAGATCAGGACCAGGTAATTCGGCTGGAGGTTTACTTTGGAGTTGTTCGTCTGTTCCTTTCTTTATCATCCGTTTTTTATTATTTATTTATTTTTTGTTATTGATGTTATCTGTGTTGTTAAGATCATTATCGTTGTCGGTATGATCTCTTCTGTTAGTATTTTTATTATTTATTTCTTTGTTGTTGTTATTGTTTTTTTTTTCGTCTCCCCTAGTTTACTGTTTTTGCTCTTTTCTGTTTGTTTCTTACCTTTTTCTTTGAGTTTCTTTGTTGCTTTTTCATTTCCATTCTTTTTTACCGGTATAATGATTTTGTATGGGATTTTAAATTATAACTCTTGTCGACAAGAGCTTACATTAATATCTGTGATCTCTGTAAAACACTCTAGGAAATAATATTTGCATTGATCATTACTTACGTCAGAGAAATTGTATAGATAGACAGGCGCCTGACTGACTTATATACGGACAGACATGTAAACAGACAGATTGACGGACAGATAAACATATAAGAGACTGACTGACTGACTGACAGAAGGAAAGACAGACAGACTGACTGAAGACAGAAAGAAATACAGACAGAGAAGACTGATAAACAAACGGAAAGATAGACTAAAAGACATATAAACCAAAAGACGGACTGAGACAGACAGACAAACCGAAGATAAACTAACTGAAGCGACGACATACATAATTATAGCTTTGAGTCCTATTTCCCTTCCTTCCAACAGCGGGTTCCTGCGACTCCCTGTCCGCGATCCCAGAATCCCTACCATTTACGTCAGCCTAGGGGATTCCAGGGGGGGGGGATTCCACTCCAGGGATTCCACTCCAGGGGATTCCACTCCAGGGGATTCCACTCCAAGGGGAACTCCGGGTCCTAGGGGATTCCACTCCTAGGGGATTCCACTCCAAGGGGATTCCACTCCTAGGGGATTCCACAAGGGGATTTCCACTCCTAGGGGATTTCCTAGGGGATCCACTCCTAGGGGATTCCACTCCTAGGGGATTCCACTCCAAGGGATTCC